AGGAACAGACAGTGAGCCTGTCTCTCAATAATAATAATACAGTGTGTGATCTCCTGTCTCAGCCTGAGGAACAGTGAGCCTGTCTTTCAATAATGTTCGATAAGTTCGCATGTAAATATCTTATGATGTGTCTGTATTGTAAATATCTGTCCTTGTTGTGTTAACTGTATATGCTTTGGCAACACTGTAATTCATTGGTCAAGCCAATAAAGCCTCTTGAATTGAGAGACGGGACCGGCACGAGGGTGGGAGAGAGAAAGAAAGACAGGGTCACACGGTCAGACAGCAAGGAAAAAGGGAGCCAGACTTACGTTGAGTTTGATGAGGCGTAACAGGTCCTTCTTGGCAGCTTGGAAGATGGCGCCGACCTTGCTGGGCGGGACCTGGTCGGAGCGCCCTCCACTGTCGGTGTAGTGGATCACCGCCGATGGTGCCGGCTGCATGGTCACGCTCTTCTTCAGGATGGACTGGCGGAGGGAGAGGGAGACTTCGTGTGCAGCCACTGCAGCACTGGGCACCCCTGTGCACGACTCTGTCAGTGCATCAGCCTGTCCCTTACCTTGTGCATGACGGGGCTAGGGGGCGCGTCCTCGATCGTGACGCGGGCACGCTCATAGGCCATATTGAGGTCGGTGCTGCTGGAGACGGCGCCCCCTACGGGGCACAACAGGGAAAACAGAGACGCTGAGCACTGCGCTGTCAGCGAAGGCTGGACTGGGCACCTGTACTACCACACCACACCAGAGCAGACTATCCCACACTATTACTGTACTGTAATAGTGGACTCTTAGCAGGACTGCAACCTTACCAAACTGGACTGACCCTTTACTGACCGGACTGGACTGTGGCTCAGGGACATTCTGCCTCAAGATTTACTTGATATTTTGGGCTGTACTGGACCATGAAGCAATGTCCTGGGCTTGCAAAAACACAGTTCGGGACCAGATGAACCCGGGACCGACGTTAGAAAGACTCATCGTGCACGAGGCCGAGCTGGGGACGTCCCAGCTGGCCCTCTGGGAAACTTCAAGAAGCACGGGATCCTGGGATTGCTGAACAATAAAGAGACGCCAAGCTCCCAGGACAGGCCAGATGGAACTGCACTAGTAAACACTAGCTTGCCGTGTGTGCCCTGTGGGTATTGTGCTCCGCTGTACGGCGGCGTGGTGGCACGGAGATGTACACCTCTGTCCGTGCCGGGCGGAACCAGTCGTACCTGTGCTCTCGACGGACAGGGAGCGGCTCTTCCTGAAGGCCGAGGCGCTGTCGGCTGCAAAGCTCCGCACCGCGTCTGGAAAACACCGGGACAACTCCATCACTCGCTGCGCCCGCCAGCGGACCACCACTGCGCAGATGCGGGCTACGCCCTGCCATCCACACCGGGCTGACTGTCCTCCGCCACACCCCTGCCCCCACTCAGAAACGGCGGTGACAAACAGCCAGGTGACTTCCTGTATGAGGGGGGCTGGCAGGCAGACGCCCAGTGCACAGCAGTCTGATCCACTGCAGGCCTGGGTATCTCCATTTAATCATGAGAAACTCTTAAATGGTAACCAGCTTTTAAACACAATTTGGTCTGTCTTCAACTATCCTTACTGTATTTCACAGCTGCGCAATGAGAGTGTTGTCACGTGTGGCGTTTCAGTGGCGTTTGGCAGCAGCTCAGTGTCTCAACGGAAGGCATAACAGGAGGTGATCAGGTCAACCTAATCCATTACTGGAGTACGGCTCCCCTCTATTGCAGACATTTTTATAACTCGCCGTCTCCAGAAGGCTGGAAGTATTGCTAAGGATAACAATCATCCTGGTTTCTCACCCCCTTCCCTATGGTTAGCGTTACAGGAGCATTAAGGCACGAGCCTCCAGATCCAGAGAGAGTTTCTTCCCGCAAGCTGTCAGATTACTGACCCCTACCCCCACCACTGGCTCAAACCAATGTTTTTTTCCTCTCTGCTCACACGGCTTGTCCGACTTGTCTTTTAAGTGGAATGTTATTTAACTAGTTGTTGTGGCTGCCGCTGTTCTGCGTTTATGTTTTGGTGATCCCTAATTTGTCTTTGTATCGGAGCATACATGCAAACATGCATTTCATTGCACTTGTGAATTTGACACATAAACTGAACTGAACTCGGAATGTCCGGTCATTAATGTTGGTACCTCCCGGAGCAGAACGGACAGGGTCTGACCTGTGTCCGAGGAGCGCTCTGCGGCTCCCTGGGGGCATTTATCCAGGCCAGGCTCTTCCTCGGGGGGGGTGTGGGGATGAGGTTTCCGGGATGTCCGACCAGGGCTGCCCTCCCCTATCACACTGAACACCGACACCAGAGGGATGGCCTGGCTCTCCTATGCACGGATGGACACGCAAACACAGAGAGAGTCACACTCCCCGAGTGCAGAGAGGCTTCGGGCAGAGAGAGTCGCTGTGAGAGAGCCACACTCACCCAGAGAGACAGAGTCAAGCAGAGAGAGTCGCTGTGACAGTCACACTTCCCGAGTGAAACAGACTGTTTGATTTCTGACTGTCCGTGGAGCAAAACAACAAGAGTGTAGCCCACTGAGACATGCAGAGGCAGACGGGCGAACTCTCACCGGGTTGAAGAGCTCAGTGGTCAGCCCCAGGTAGTTGTGCAGAGCCAGGAAGGTGACCCTCTGCAGACGCACCATGATAATCTGTACAGACAGAAGACCCCCCCCTCCTTAAAGCAGCGATCTCTAACCCGTTTCGAGAGAAAGCCCCGTCCCCCTGGTGTCCCCAGTGAGAAAGCAAAGACTGCTCTCGCTTTTTCAGCACTGTAATTCAGTGGTCATGCCAATAAAGCTCCGGGAATCGGATTAGGCCAAGTGTGGCTAATTAAGCAATTAACTGGCTCAACTAGGAAATGAAGAGCCGAGCTCGAATGAAAGCGCGGTAGCCCTGCGTCTCCCCAGACCCGACGAGACGAGTCACAGAGGAGGACAAATCCTACGCACCTCCGCTCCATTTCAGCCCTGCGAACACCCCACGGCATAACCGGGCGTCTTCAGTGACCGGAAACTGACCCGCAATGGAAGAAGCAGCACCCCTTGACACCTTTCTCCCTCTCTCTCACAAGCCGGGCTGCACGATCACCCTAACTGGCCCATGCGGGTCGCGCGCCCTGCGTCATCCGGTCGCGCCGCCGAGCTGGAGCCCGGGCGCTTTGAGGCACGGCGTCACGGCCTCCTGCTGCTCAGCAGCGTGGTCCTGCTCCAGGTTTTCCCAGCTGCGGGTTTGTCTCCCACGAGCCCGTCATCACGTCAACATGACTCAAGCATGTCGGCAAATACATACAACGGGGCAGTTACACTGTCGCGGCGTAGGTCCGCCGCACAATGAGGGTGCCCTGCTTCGTCACTGGGGGGTTGTCTGACCTGCGGCGCTGAGGTTTCGGGGCCGTCGGGGGCTGTACCTGTATGACTCGGACCAGGGTCTCGGGATACTTGTTGAAGACGGACTGGAAGGCCGTGGCTGGGAGCCGCAGGATGGTGGAGCGCAAGGCGGCCCGAGCCGAGACGGTCTTGTAGGGCGCCGGGTAACCCTGGGAGAGAGAGACACGGAAGAGGCAGAGTGAGGACAGTAAGAGAGAGACCCAGCAGAGAGGCCAACGGGTTTTGCACTGATGGGGACAGAGGGCCAGCCGGTCAGACTCACGGTGATGACATCCAGGATGCTGAGCAGGCTGTGCACGCTGTCTCCCGGGAGCACTTCCTTCACCACAGGATCTGTGCCATCCTTGTTAACAGGGGCGGCAAGGAGTGCCGTGAATCACACAGGACTGTACGGTGTACATTATACACAGCACAGGAGCGCACAGTATGTTACATGGTAGACTGTATATCAGATCAGATTGTATATTCGTGTATATTGCATTGTACTGTAGATCAGTGGTCATGACATACAGGACAACCAATCTAGGGTAACTCAAAACTGAAAAAGTGAATGGAGAAATGAGATTCAGCCTTTTTTTAGCCCGAACTTCTAGGATATAAGAAGGCCCACAGCTATAAGACTCCTAAACCCCACTTCTTAAATCCAACTACTCCGGCCTCAAAACCCCATTGCATTTTGCACAGAGCTGAAAAGACAGCCTCTGTGCGAACTGTGCACATCACTGCCATCTGAACGCTGCTTGAGAGATGACAGCTGCTACAATGTCCCCGTCTTCAATAACTTGTCAGATCATTTGTAATGTCACTTTCTACGATGATGAACGTGAAGAAGCACACAGATGAGCACTGCACTGTACTCAGGTAGATACAGTGATGATTGGAACGCTTTGCTCTGAATGTCAGTGTGGGATTAAGCTGTACTTGGTCCTCGGCAGCCAGTGCACGCCGCTGTGACTCCCCGCTCGTGACACTGCAGTGAGGGTCTGACAGCTCGTCCGGTGCTGTCTGGAAGGGTGAAGGGTGAAAGGTGAAAGGTGAAGGGCGCAGACGCTCTTACGCTCTCCTGCACACAGAGCTCCAGCCGGCCGTCCTGCACCACGTAGATGCTGTCGTCGGTGTCGCCGGGGCGGAACAGCCCCTCCCCCTCCTGCAGCTCCATGAACACCATGTGCCGGCACAGCTCCAGGAACAGGGGCTTCTCGAAGTGCCCCAGCACCCTGCGGAACGGCGAATTACAAATCAGCCCCGCGGCAGCGCCCTCCGACCCGAACGACACCTCCTCCCCTCGGGGCCCGCCACCCCAAAATGCACCCCCTGCTCTCGACACTCCCTCCCATCGGGATGCACCCCCTTCCCTGAGCGATCCGGGGACGCGCCGTCACTCAATATACCCGTCGGACATTTTGCCCGTCTATCCCAGACGGAGCCACTGGGCTCCCCCCTCGGGCAGCAGCGGACTGCATTCCCCCCAAACGCCTCCTGCGCCCAGGACCCGGCAGCCTCACCTGACGTTCTTCAGCATGTACAGCACCTCGGAGGGCAGGTGGGAGTTCTGCACGTCGAACTCGGTCAGGTCGGCCTCCAGCAGGGAGGGGGGGGGCTCCTTGGGCTGCAGGGTGGGGGGCTCCCGGCGAATCCGCAGGATCCTGACGAGACAGCCAGACGGGCACGGACTCAGAGCGGCACCCTCCCAAGGGACAATAACACCAACAGTTCACTGCAGCAGTGGTGGGGCCATGGGTTCAAAACCTGGGTGCCGCCGGCGTGGAGTCTGCGTGTTCTCCCCAGATTCATATGGGTTTCCTCCCACAGTCCAAAGACCTACTGGTAGGTTAACTGGCCCAGTGTGTCTGTGTCTGTGTCTGTGTGTGTGCCCTGTGACGGACTGGTGTCCCATCCAGGGTTAATCCTGCCTTATGCCCACTGCTTGCCAGGATCGGCTCCAGCTTCCCCCCGTGACCCCCGCACTGGACGAAGCAGTGAGAAAATGGCAGCTGTACATCAGGGCGTTATCACTTTGCACACATCTCGACGCGCGTGAACTCGTCTGGGACTCACCGGCGGGCCAGCGCCAGAACCTTGGGCCTTTTCCGGGACCGCTGGCGAGACACACTGCCACCAGAGCTGGGGGCCGAGGACAGGGTCTGGACCTGAGACACAGGAGGGGTTGAGGGGTCAGAGTAATACGCCTGCTGCACATACGCATTACGAGAAAAGACAACACCGCTCTCATTTGCAAACTGAGCTACCGCTGACCTCCAGTGGACACTTTCAGAAACTGCACCCTCTCAGCAGGACACAGCAGGGACAGCCCCTGCGCCTGGGGCTGAGCTGTGATCTTAGTAAGGCAACAAACTCATGTTCGCTGCTTCTATCCATTGTTAGAAAGGCACCTAATCCCACTGAGGGATGTGGCCACCCAAAGCCCATTCCAGAACAGGACACGAGTCCAGGTAAGAATAATCAGTTGTTAATTACCTCCACTCAATACACGTTCTCCAGTGACACCCCCCCCCCCACAGCACGTGTTCTCTCTCAGCCATCTCACCTTCCTCATGATCTTCCTCCCGTAGAACAACACCTTGTCCCTCTTCCTGAAGCGGTAGCGAGGGACGCCGGCCTGCTGCTCCCCTGGGGCACACACAGACACTGTCAGCACACCTGGGCAGCGCACACCTGGGCACACCCCTCACCCTGCCAGACCCTCTGCAATGGGCCCAGTCTGCAGTCTCCTTTACACACCACAGCAGTTCATAACTTTATATGAGCATATGAATCTCTCATACATCCACAATAAACTCTGATCACCTGCTTATAGATGTGCCTATATTTACAGATGTTACTGTACATCTGTGTAAAACTGGAGGACTGAATTCACCTGTACAGAAACTCTATATATCTTTATACACCTGTGATAAATACCTTTATATAACATCTGTACAAGGCTATATTCACAACACACCCCAAACACCGCGTTTCTTTTCTTCTCAGCATGGAAAAAAACTTTATTTGCCCCTTGTAGACTACGCAGCGACCTACTTCAATTATATTCACATCATATAACAACACAATTTCACTTTATACACCCATGTAGGACTGCATGCACATTTACACCTTCAACAGCCTAGAACTGTCGCCGATAAAGAGGAACTTTAATCCAGCCACGTGAGGTTCAGCAACTAATGCAGACTCACGTGTTTGTTTGTATCTCCTGTAGACGAACAGAACCATGATCCCGATCAGAGAGATGGCCACCACAGCCCCAATCAGCACGCCGGTCAGCTGAAACACACACTGGCACTGAAGAAACGGCACTGATTCACATACTCGCAAACCAGTATTGACAGACACACACACACACTGGCATTACACACACATACTCAGAGTCAAGTACCGATATGCATAAACTTAGTACTGACAGTCGGGCCAGCCTTATACCACAGGACCAGCTAGCACATGGCCAGGCCCAACAATCCATTCATTTAGACAGCTGTTGGAACCGGCAGTCATGAGCTGGGCTCAGTACCATGGTAGTCTGCATCCTCTCCTCCACAAACTGCTGCACTCGAGCTCGGATCTCACTGCCACTGGGCAGGGGCAGGGCCCCCTGCAACACAGACAAGGTAAAACACAGAGAGAGGGTGAGAGCCCATGCTGAGAGACGCAAACAAGACA